AAAAGATTTTTATCTTTTAGATGTGATGATTTGCCACATTTTTAGAGGAAATTTAATGTTCTTAATAAAGAGAATTGCTATTCAATTAACATACATGCTGAATGGTATATAAAACTAGGAAACTAGCCAAAAGTCAGATTTTTATATTAGAAAATTTTTATCGCCTAGGCGACTAGGCGCCCCAGTGTCGCCCAGAATTGCCTAGATGCCTTGAAAACTATGGCATTAACAAAGTAAGTCAGAGTTCTAGTGCATTTCTATGGTTCCTACTATCATGCCACTGCAAAACAGTCCTTACAGTTTATTCCCACATGCAAAATGAATATAAACTTTAATTATTGAGCACAAGCAAAATCTGTACAGGAATTTTATTGGTACCTCAGCATTTGGTACAGGGTTTCCCTCTGAAGCTACAGTTGCTGTACTGTCCATTATCCTTACTTCCTGCATGAAGTACAGTCAAGAATGTCAAAATTATTTAAGGAGCACCTACATGTTTTATAGTTTTATAGGAAGCTATGACTGAAGCTTAGCATCACCTCAACCTTTGGTACATAGTTTTCAACAGGTGTTATAGTCACAACCTGGTCTACTATGGTTGCCCCCTGCATGATGAAAAGAAAAAATAAATCGCTTACAAGTTCCACAAAAGCATTTAACAAAATAGGAATCAGAAAGCATCTAACGAAAAAAATAAAGAATAGATAGAATCAGAAAGCACTGACTTGTGAAGTTAACCAATCAGTTGAGGGCCATAATAACACATCACCACATCACTAACTAGTTGGCCCACACCCACAATGTACCCTAGGGCAACTAAGCATAGAGTAGAAAGTAGATTAACTCTATGATACTGAGATACCTATACAAGGGTGTCATATCATGTTGGATACCTCAATTATAAGTTCCACATCTGATTTGAATTAAGCCGAGTCTTTATCGCAACTGGGTAACATGAGATCAAATAGGTTGACTATTGACTAACTGGTCTAGCCAACCGAGGTTGTGTTTTGGTACCATTGCCATTTCAAGGTCAAACATTTAGAGACACAACGGCATGTCATGAAAATTGTTTGGTTGATATTTATGCTGACTAGGCATTGAAAAAGTGTTTGGAGCAGTATTGTGTTTCTATTCGCATTGCTACATGAAACATTTAAACGAAATATTTATATTCAATGTAACACTACCCTACTATACTTATCACTCATACAATAGTCAAATTTAAAAATAAATGTTTTTCGATGTTTGGCTCATTATTAAACATAGATTAGCATCTAGATGCAGATCTAAAGGTTCTAGAAGCATCGAACCAAAAAAGGAGAACCTTTGTTTTGGAGGTAGGGTTTATGGGTATTAGATGGTGTATAGCCATCATAACTTTTTACCAAAAAAAAATACGCTATCATAGCTAGTACGTGATGCACCAGAATATATCTCTACACTGCCACGTGGGACGCCAACTAAGAGCGACATCATTGGACTTCTTATTCAAATAGGCAGCTGATGAATGTTTCCTCCGAACACCCCCTAGCTTATGTTTCTGAAGAAACTGTTAGACAGTGTATGCCCTCAGCTCCAATAGTGTGTTGTAAACAAACATTTTTTTTTTGATAAGTGTATTGTAAATAAACATATATTATGAGTAAATCAGTTATATCTATTAGTTCATGTACCAATTGGTTTGTTTCTGTGAATACCAGTTGTACACTATATGAGAATTATGTATCAACTGATTGATAAACTTGGGAAGTTATTTATTTATTTATTTTGGATCCATAGTTTTTAATGTGCCAAGGCGAGGCTAGGCGACAGGGGGGCGCCTTGTTGCCTAGGCGATGGATTTCTTTTAAGTAAAACCATATATCCTAGGGTAGGTCCCTAGGTTCCATAACCATCTTTCCTTAACAATTATCCATAATTTTCATAAGTACAAATTTCATGTTTTAAGTTTAGAAAATCAACATTTTATGAGAAGAAAAGGAACAAAGGAAAGAAAATTCAGAAAATATAGGGGCTGAGCCCCTACTTTTGTTATAGGAAAAGAAGAAAAGAAAAGGTGGAAGAAGAAGAAGATCTGTAAGAAGAAAATGTGTTGATTAGACAAAATTTTAAGTTCTTCCCTTGCTTATTGGTTCAGGTTCTGAAATATTTGAGAATTCAATCAAGGATCAACACTTTGATACGATACGCCCTGTATCGGGCGTATTGTATTGTATCTTTGGCGCTCCAACACACATGTTTACAGGTGTTTTCTTTTTTTTTTTTTTTGATAATTGAAATAAATTTATTAATCAGCAATAGACAATAGTACAAAGTCCCCAAGAAGAGGCACAAGTTGCAACCTCTCCGGGCTAGTTAAGTACAGATTTCCAGATTAATAATAACTTACAAAGTAGCACAAAAAAGATCTTCCCTAGAAGCCCCCTGTTTGGCTAAAGAATCAACCATAGAATTAGCAAACCTGCTAACCCATTTTACCTCAAATCTCATATTGCTAGTTAACCACTTTACTTTTTTGATGAGATCTTTGTAGCCCCAAATGGTAGTATCCGGGTTTAGAAGCCACCTTGTTACCACCTAAGAGTCCCCTTCAACTAGGAGATGCTTCACCCCAAGCTGGTTAGTGATCTGAATTCCTTGTACTGCAGCAAGGATTTCTGCCCTTGTGGAGTCCCCCACTCCCACCGGTCCTGAGAATAAGGAAATTATGTTGCTGTCCTTATTTCTCAGGACACCCCCTATACCTAAAGGCCCGGGGTTACCTTGGCTACTTCCATCAAAATTCAACTTGATGACACCTTTCAAAGGCGGAACCCATTCTGACAAAATTCTATTCTTCTTTGTTGAAGTGTTAGCATTACTAACCAATTCCTCCACAAGTCATCAAAAGAGAAATCATCAAATATATCCAAGGTTTTCAGCCAATGGGTTGCTCTTGTTAGGATGCAGTCCTTCACTTCATTAATCTTCTTTCCTTCTCTAAGAAGATTCTTGCATTCCTTTCCTCCCAAAGACTCCACAAAGTGGCTACCTTGACACATTTCCACATGACCTTGCCTCTTCTAGTGTGCCAAACAAAAAAACGATGGGTTAAATAACGAGCTTAAATCAGAAGGCAAAGACCACCTACCTCCAAATAAACAAAGGCTCCAACTCCATAAAGCTGTAGCAAAGGAACAGGAGATCAGCAAATGGAAACAGTCCTCATTCTCGGCCTTACACAAGGAACACCAATTTGGGGAAAGRCAAAGMGAGGKTCTCTTTTTCTATAAGTTTTCCAAAGTATTGATTTTCCCATAGTAGACTTCCCAACAGAACACAGCAATTTTTTGGGGAATAGGTTGTGCCCAGACTTCTTTGAAAGGGAATCCTTGGGAAATGGGGTTAGAACTGAGGGATTTAGAAAGGAAGAGCAAGTAAATGTTACTTTTGGAAGAGGAGTCCAAAGTCTTTGATCAGAAGAAGTGGGGTCCAAACAAACGGATTCTAGTAAATGAATTAGCTCAACAACGCAACTCGACTCACCATCCCTTAACCCTCTACGAAAGCCGAAGTCCCAGTTTAGAGACAAGGGAGTTAACGGGCTCGAGAGAAAATTTACAATTGGCTCATTTTTGTGAAGGGAAAGGGAATAGAGCGAGGGGAAACAATCTTTGAGGGGTTGAAGTACCCACCCAAATATTCTCCCATAACAGAATAGCATTACCAGAACAAGCATCATACCTGATGAAACTAAGGAAGCGAGGGAGAATACCATATATAGCCTTCCAAGGTGTAGTAAGGGTAGCTTGACAAGATATACCAGAATCCCAACCATTTCTTGAGAAGCCATGAATGCTTGCCATCATCTCATGCCATAATCTCTCTCTCTCTCTCTCTCTCTCTGGACCATCTCCATAACCACTTCCCTAAGAGGGCTACATTCTTCAACACTATGTTCCCTATCCCTAGACCCCCTTCTTCCTTTGGTTTGTTAACTATCTCCCATCTAACTAGATGATCATTTTTCACCTCTCCTGGTTCCCACAGAATGTCCCCCATTCTCTTCTTTAGTTTCTTAGCCTCCCTTGGAGGAATCCTGAACACTGAAAGGAAGTAGGTTGTTGGCAAGTGTAGCATTAATTAAAGTCAGCCTACCCCTATTGAGATGTAATTCTTTTTCCAAGCCGCCAAGCACTTATCAAATTTCTCCACAATAGGGGCCCAGAAACTACTTTCTTTAGGGTTACCTCCTAAGAGTAGCCCTAAGTATGTCAAAGGCCAAGAAGAAGTGTTGCAACCTACACTCTGCAATGGATTCAATCTCCCTATTCTCCATGTTTACTCCAGCCACACAACTTTTATCAAAGTTTACCCTCAAGTTGGAGACACTCTCAAAGGTTATTATTAAATTCTTAAGGTTCTCCACCTTGCTTAACTCATTCCCTTCACAGAAAATAAAAATATCATCAGCAAACTGAAGGTGAGTTACTGGAATGCCTCTRCTCCCTATTCTCCATCCCTTTATTTGGCCCTCCTCATCTGCTTTGGAGATCATTCTACTGAAGACATCAGCAACAAGTGTAAAGAGGAAAGAGGAGAGTGAATCACCTTGTCTTAAACCTCTATTAGTTGGAAGTCCTTAACCACCCCATTCACCAAGACTGAATAACGACAAAAATTTAAACATCCACTTATCCAATTACACCATTTATCCCCAAATCCACGTCTTCTTGATATCTCCAGCAAGAAACTCTAGTCCACTAAGTCATAGGCCTTCTCCAAATCCAGTTTGCAAACAAAGCCTTTTTCTGCCCGATCTCCTCATCTCTTCCACACTCTCATTTGCAATAAGGATCTGATCTGTAATTTGTGTTAGACAGTGTATGCCCTTAGCTTCAATCAGATTGATGTACTTATTGTCATTTATCGTAAATGAATAAAAGTGCATAATTGATTCATGTGATTTGGTGTGTTTTTGTGTAATACCCTTAAACTGGACACTTATGAGACTCGTGTTAGTTTAGAATTTTCACAGTCGTTGGATAGATTTGGGGAGATTTATCCTACCAAGGCTAACACTGATGTGCCACCAAGTTGGTTGGGGTGGCTTGTCTCAGCTACCAAGGTGAGAACCTGAGGTACATGTAGTGTGGGTTTTCTTGAAACCCTGAATTGGATCAAATTCCAGTATTGCCCTGGACCTTGGAGATAGATGGGCAAAACTGGAATGTTACACCTAACCCCTAGACTCGATTATGGTACTGCACTAGGTGTCGGATTGGACTGTCTTTGATATGCCAATCAGTGAGATCCTTAGAGGAGGTCAAAACCTGGGTATGTTGGGACAGTCCGAGAATTCACTTGAGTGGGTGATCATAGTGACAGGATCAGCCCCTTTGTTAGACAAAGTGAATGATTGGGGAATGCACTCTCTGATGGAAACCTAAACTGTCGGCAGTGGATTTCAAATGTGTTTGAAATTTGTTTTGTAAAATATATTTATGTAGAGATATACATATATATATTATGGTTTCAAATTGTTTGCAAAAGATTTCAATTCCCGGGATCCATGTGAGTAGAGAGTGCAACACTGTACCTTGCAGCCAAGGGAGAGGTCCTC